GAAGAACTACCTGAACTGGGCCCCTTCCTTGTTTGAATGTTTATTTTATTTTTAAATATATTTTATTGATTTTTAGCCAAACCGGTTAGGGCTGTTTGTATGTTTATAGCTTGCACCAACCTGCCCTACACACACACTGGAATGCAAGCTCCTGAGGCTGCTGCCTGAGATTCCTCCAGCTGGGTGGGGAGGGGCTCAGTGCACACCTGTCCACTGCCTGACTCAGAGCAGGCCCTACCAATGGGGCTTCCACCAGACACCGGGGAGGCGGGAAAGGGATGGGGAGGGAGAGTCCTGCCACCCAGGTGCCCCCACCCTGCATCCCCCTCAAAGGCCAGCCTCCTGTTCCCAGTTCCCTCTCCCGCCCAGTCTCCAGCCCTGGGGCTTCACAGAGGCCGCCGTCCTGCACCTGTCCAGGCACGCACGGGTCCCTTCCTTCCATCCATCCCTCCCACCAGTTCTTGCTCACATCCCCAGCACCCTGTTTCCTGGGCACCCGTCCAGGTTTAGGCCCAACATGGATGACACTGAACAGTCACCTGCCGCACCATGGTGACCACAGCCCCGCCCCTGTAAGTTCCTGTGGGCTTTACGGCCTCGCTCAGCCTGCTATCTCGTTGGTCTCTCCCAAGCCTGCCCGCCTCCACACACCAGCTCTGCAGGTGCAGGCCTTCTCGGGTCTCACTGGTCCCGGCGCCACTCGCACCACGGTCAGCGTGGCTGCGGGTCTGACTGGGCTCCTGGGAAGGCCTCCAACGTCTCCTGTGACCCTCAGGCCACACGGCCAGCCCCTGGCCCAGCGCCCTGGGCTTTCGCTGCCACCACCTCCTCTGAGTCGACTGTGCCACTTTCCAAAGTATGCACCACTGCATTTTCCTGTATGACTTGACTGGACACACCTCCTAGGTCTTTGCTAAAGAACACCCATTTTTAAAGAACAGCTTTATGAGGTCTAATTGACACAGGCTGCAAACTGGACGTGTTTGAAGTGCAGTTTGATACGTGTCAGCACAGGCAGGCACCAGCGAACCATCACCTAGTGAGCAGCTTCGTCACCCACGGTGTCCTCTGCCCTGCCGCCCTCCCTCTGGCCCCATCAGCCCTGCCCCTGGCCTGTGCGCAGCACACACAGCCACTGATCTGCCTTCTGACACTCCACATTAGTTTGCATTGTCTAAAATTTTATTTAAGTGACTGGCATCTTTCCCTCCGCATAATTAACTTGTGCACAGAACCTTTACCAAGATAACTCTCAATAAATTTGAAAGAATTTAAATCTGGCAAAGTGATCTCTGATCACAATGGGATCAGATATCAGAAACCAGTGAAAGATATCTTGAAAACCTCCAAATATATGGACACTAATACCTTTGTAAACTGGCCAGGGGTCAGAGAAGACGTCGAAAGGGAAGTTAGAAAGTTGTTTACTTTAATAGACATGTACAGAGCAGTTACTGTATGCCAGACCCTGTCCTGGCCATTTTCAAAACCAGAAGTAGCTCATTTAAGCCCCCTAAAAACCCTACGAAGAAGGTAATCTCATGCCCATTTTACAGATGCTGAGCCTGAGGCACTGAGAGGGTGAGTGACTTGCCTGGGTCACACAGAAAGGAAGTGGCCGAGCTGGGATTCAGGCACCTGGATTTAGTATGTGCCTCCTGTCTCAGTTTAATGGAGGGACACTGAAGATTTCCAATGGAGGAGGTTTCAAATGTCAGCTTCCCCTGACAGTAAGATCTCTTTGGGGCAAGTTCAACAAAACGTAGGAGCTACGTCTGCAGGACTTGGCAAGGCGTTAGAAATACAGAGTTGAGGAGGCAGGAAGAGGCTGGGCAGCAAAGGAAGTGAGGGGGGAGTGGACAAGTGGGGGTGGGAAGGTTCAGTGAAGTGGGTGAGCCATGTGGTGCATGCTGGGAAGGAGGCACCCAAGTTCTGAGAAGCTTTTCATCTCAGGGCAAGGTGGGGGTGGGAAGGGGTCCCTAAGGAAATACTGAGCTGGAGGTCCATTAGGACATAATTAGAAGAAAAAGAGGGGGGTGGTGTTCCAGGCTGGAGGAGCAGCAGGCGGACAGTCCTGTGGGTGATCATGGATTAGGGCTCAAAAAAGCGTGAACTGAAGATAAATGGGCAGGCGGGGTGCCCTGTGGGGCTCACAGGCCTGGTTAAGGAGCTGTCTTTCTCCCAGGGGTGATGGGGTGTCAGTGAGCATTTGGGGAGTGTGTGGAGGAGGGATTCACAGGGTTAGATCTGTGTTCTCAAAGCTCGCTCTGGCTACAGGGTGGAGACAGGCATGAGCAGATGCAAGGAGCAGTCAGGTGGCTATGGAGGTCTTCCAGGTGAGCTGATGCTTGTGTGGACAGTAGTGAGGGACCTAGGGAGGTGGGGGTGGGGCAGTGGAGAGAAGTGGGGGGATTCAAGAGGTATTTAGGAGGCATAAATGGCAGGCCTCACCCAGTTCCCCTGTAGGGATGCTTGGGTTCTAAAAGCTGGGGGGTGTGAGAGGGGGACCATCACCTGGCTAGTGAGCCCTGGAAGAATGCCAGGTAGGTGGGGAAGTGGCCTCAGCGTCAGGTCTGGAGTCCGATTCTGGGCTGTTCTGTGAATCACCTGCCCAGGTACTGCACCGGGAGCTCCAGCAATAGGCAGGGAGAGGGTGAGGCTGCAGAGGAGGCTGTGTGTGTGTGTGTGTGTGTGTAAGGGGGGAGGGGGCAATGGTGGTGACCCAGAGGTCAAAGAGGTCAGGCAGGGTGAGCTGGAAGGCAGAAGCGTTTGGAAGTGGAGCTTGCTGGGAAGCAAAGGTTCCCCGTGGCCTCGGGCAAGTTCTCGCAGGAGAGGGGAGGTGAAGGCCCAGAACAGTTTCAAGGCTGGGGTTTGGAATGGCCCGTCCACAGGAAATCTTAACCCCCCGAGCCCTGCAGAAGCGGGCCAGGCTCCAAGGCAGGGGAGCAGGTGGAGGTGGAGGAGGCGCGTGGTGACCTGGCCCTGCTGACAGCGGCCACAGGGAAGTTGCCGCTTCGATTGCTTCTCCTTCCTCTTCCTCCTCCTCGCCCGCCCCCCGCCCGGCCGCTGGGAAAACCCAGGCGGAGAGCATGAGACGCCGCTGGGTCAGAAGTGCATTCTGCAGCGTGCACCCCGGATGCCCAACGACCCACCACGTGGTGGTGCCTGCCACCCTGTTTCTTCTGTTTTAACGTGACTCAGGACGCCCCGCGCTGACTTCACCCACTTCCAACGGGTCCCCGGCCCCAGTTTAAAAACCCGACCTTGGGGAAGGCGGGGGGTGGGGGGGCCCAACAAGTTTGCTCACTTCCTAGGAAGATTCCAGACTGTCCCCGAAGGCCCGGGTGCGGGGAGGAGGAGGGCGGGCCGGGGGAGGAGCTGGAAACAAAGCAGCCGGAGTGTGGGCGGCTGGGGGGGCGGGGGGCGCTCAGGTTCCTCACCCCCAAACCCCGCAGTGGGGCCGGCCAGGGGCCAGGACCCCTCGCCTGGCCTGGTTCACGGCGCTGTGACTGCCCATTTAGAAACTGGGTTTGGGCGCAGCTTACTCACCCCGGCGGTGAATTACTTTAAAAGGATTCCTGGAATTATGTAAATTAATACTTTTTTTAAAAAAAACACGTGCTTTATCGATAGGTGTAGCTGGGGGCACAGCGTTTTGTTCACCAAGATCTGGGATTCCGCACCAAGGGGCCCTCAAGGTGTGGGGGATGTGGCTACGGGAGACCACGGGGCGGTGCTAGGGTTTGGGGGTTCGGGGCGGTGCTAGGGTTTGGGGGTTCGGGGCTGTGCGCCCGCCCCCTTTCGCAGGTCCCCTGTGCACAGCCCCTAAATCGAGCATCGGCCTGCGTTCCCCGATTCTAGGGGGACAGACGGACACCCAGCATCACCTCGGGGCGCCGGGAGGGCGGGGGCAGCCTTCAGTGAAGGCAGAAACCGGGGGTCCATTGCCCCCCGGGCCAAATTCCCTGGTCACCGCCCCCGGCTGGGCCGCACCATGAGACTCTGCAGACACATGTCCGAATTCCAGGGGCCTGAACCCACACTCGGTGCCAAAGAGATGCGGTCCCGTCCCCCCCACCCCACCCCCCAAGCTTCTAAACGTGCCTCGGATCCTCCAGTCAGTGCCCCTCACCCCTACCCACAGCCCCGGGCCCCTGAGTCTGGGGTCCCGGTTCTGGGGCCTCGAGGATCGCCTGCAGGAACCTGGGGGGCTGCCCCGCCTGTAGTGCACGCAGCTGAGGCCATCGGGACACCCTACAGGGTGGGCAAACTTTTTGACTGGAGGGCCACAATGGGTTCTTAAACTGGACTGGAGGGCCGGAACAAAAGCATGGATGGAGTGTTTGTGTGAACTAATATAAA